ATCCTCCTTTTTGGAATGTAAGGAAATAGATAGTGCTTTTCCTTTGTTGGATCGATTGTAACTCCTGATTGTAGCAACCTTAAAACGAACGGCACTTCAGAAATACAGTACAGTATACCAATTATTCTCTCAAACTTTATATCCTATCGTGTTGTTTGTGTTTTAAGTTAACTTTATTTATTTATTTTTTATTTTATTATTTTTAAGCGTACAGGTTTGGAATATTTTAAAATCCTTAAGGGGTCATCCATTATTTTCATCATTTTCACGCACGTACACAACGTACGCTGTGGGGAGGGGGTTGAAAGTGTGTGTACGCTTTTCAAAAAGTACAAAAATAACGATTTGGAAATGTTAGCCTACGTGTTTGTACCTAGCAATTCACGAGTAAATGTTAAGTTTATCAATTGTTTATACACAGCGTCATCTTGTATCCCTGATTAACGATGTGTTGGTTAAAGCATATTGTGTACTTATAAACAATTTCGAAATACAAGGGAAATGCACTCTAGCCAGGGGCGGGTCCAGGATATGAAAGAGAATAGTTTAAAATGTCTAAAAAAAAACAAAAAAAAACCAACATTAAAAGGGGTCCTGGGAACTTTCTAGATGGCCGGAAATGAGCTTTCCCGACTTATGAGAGTTTTTAATGACCTTTAAGTTCTTCAAAATTCAAGGTTTTCTCCTCTTGAAAAAGATAAGGTAATTGTATCTCATTCTTTAGTCCATTATATAGATAAAAAAAAAATCAAAGACATAAGCAATATATTATTATATTCCACAAATATTGCGTAGAACGCACTTTCGTAAATACATTATTACGACATTGAACCAAAAGCAGTTTGTATAATTTTATTTAATTGAAGGCTAGTTTTGCTAAGCATAGTTTGTCTGATTTGCCAACCTATATGCCTAGGTAGGTTCAGGCGCGGATCCAGCGGGGTGGCCACGGGGGCCCGTTCTCCCCACCCTGTCAGTCACGCCGAAAAATAAAAAAAAATTGAGAAGAGTTAAAGGGAAGAAAGAAAGAGGGAAAAAAACGAAGTGTACCCATGAGTTCAGTGACGGATCCAGCAGAGGGCGAAAGGAGAGCTCGATTATTTTACCACTCACTAATTTTGAATTTTCTATTGATTGTCAACGAACACAACTATTATCCCCGACGCATCAATCAGGATGTAAACAGGCCAAAAGGCGGAGACCTAAAGACAGAGTTTTTTTTAGCCGAAATGTAGTACCATGGAGGACCTCCATGGTAGTACCCAGCTATAGAACAGCTATCCATGCTCAGCATGGAGTAACGCCTACACATTCTCGTGCTAAAATCCGCAGGCCACCGACCCTTTATACCGTAATGATTTTGATAAACAATCACAATTCTCTGTACTATCTACTAAACATTTAACGAATGAACTTCCTTGTGTTGTGGTCATATTAGACTGTTATATTTTTAAAGAAGACCATTCAGCAAACAACATAAAACAAATTCCCACGTCGAAGCATACATAAAACGTACAATTTCCTGAAATTTGGAAATAGAGCGGACTTCCTTATGATTTTTCCTTATGTTGTGGTCATATTAGAATATAATATCACTAAAGACCATTCAACAAACAACATGAAACATAGGGCCTATATCAAACTTTTAGGTTAAAATTTCCGCTTCCGAGTATGCATATAACGTAATTTTTTAGATATATATTTTCATGACAGTCGAGAATGTACTGATTATATAACTTATAGATAATTACTGTTGTCCAATTGTGTGCATTGAAAATGTGATGACGAACTCGGGATACGACCCTCGGTTGACACTCATATCAAAGGGCCTGTTAAATAACCTTGCACAGGAGCCTGTCGTCACCTACTACAATGCCTTCTCCTCCTTATTATCATCACATTATCATCATCATCATCATCATCATCATCATCATCATCACCTTCATCATCGCAATTATTATTTGCTAAAATGGGGGAAATATATTAATTCAGTGTGTATTCATTCATCAACAGAAGTCTCGTAATGCACGTAAGTGCATTTCTCAGCATCTAGAAAAAACAAAACTCTGCGAAGCTAGGAGAACCCAAGACTAACTGCAAACCACCCCCCACCTCCCAACGTCTAAAATAATCTTCCAGCGACGGAACAAGCAAACATTAGGTTTTCCTCCCATGACCCCGTCCACTCAGGGAACCCATTATGTGCGATAGTCAGGGTAATGCTCGGTTTCCATATAATCGCCCACCCTATCGGCGACAGTTGCCGACGTTATCATGAAGGTTGAACCTGGTTCAACTTTCCCGAATGCGTTGCAGACGCAGACGAATCAGGGTGCATTGCTAGCTGCCTTGCGCAATCGGAAAGGTACCCCGATTCGTCTGTGAACCACACAATTACTGACACGACTGTCGGTGATAGGGTGAGCGATTCTTGGAAACCGAGCTAAAACTCTGGATCAACGTTCTGAGAGGTCCCTATTCTCAAAATTGTCTATTACCTCAGCCCCAACCATGGTGGGGGCAGTGAGGTGGACCCTCACGCACCCCCTACCGTCAAATCCTTCATCCGCCCCAGGGGTGTCTAAGAGGGGAGGAGCATACGAGGGAGCATAACTGCCGTCGGGAGGAAGTCAATAATTTTGTCGAGAAACACTGATTTGAAAAAGCATTTTTACCTTCCGAGAGTGCCATTTCCGAGCGTCTAGAGGGGCCTATTCTTAAAATTTGCTCCAAGGGCCACTA